GTACAAAGACCTCAAACCTTAACTTTGAATAATAGAGCTTTTATTTGCATTCCAGCAAGCTACCTTTTTTGCCTCACAAGCAAGACGAACCAGCGCAAGAATCAACTAATTCTGTGCTTGAAAATCGCGAGTGTGATGTAAAGCACACTCATGAAAATAGCACCAGGATCTTTTCACTTCTGAAAACATAAAATATCCTAGCACTAGAACACTTTAATGATCGGATCAAGCCGCTGATTGTGGATTCATCAGCCGGACAGATTGGACTAGGTCAGAAATTTCCGCTAAGACAAAGACTTGGACTGGACCGGACTGTCAAGTTTGGCAGCTCACACCCATTGTATGGAATGAAATACTATCAAATGAATGTAAGTAATGACTCGTTTCTGAAGTGTTCAGTTTAGACATCAATTCAGAAAACAACCTTTAAACCAAGAAAATATAGCAGTGGTGTCATGTCATGCCTTATTGTTATTTCTTCTGCTGTCCCAGCACCGACAGTGGTATGAGGAAAGCGGTATTGTGTGATATGTGAGGCTGATAACATTTGGTTAGCATTATACCTATAAAGCTAAATTTAAACAGATCAAAACAGACTGCGTTTCATAAAACATTTACAGGTGAGCATGGAAACACAGAGGACTCTTGCGAGTTTATAGTCCTAGCTGGCGGGGACGCGGCGAGCTGCAGACTGACATTTTGGAAAACGCTGCGTCTCGTTTCCATAAATCCCCATGCAGCCATATCCCCATGATCTTGTTCCTCATCGTAATTATGTTTTCAAGTTCGTCGACGTCTGGCAGGATTTCGGCATCTTCCAGCAACGCAAGACCGTCTCATCCACTTAGAGCTGACAACTGCGAGTACCTTGCGGCACCGCTTCCAAGTACGTAAGACTCACCGCCGGATCCTGAGCGTGGGCTCGAGGCGCGTCCTGCTTTCTGCTGTGACATCAAGCCTCCTTGGCAGACGTGTTCTCAAGCAGAGTGACGTCATCAGTATACGCCAGTGCTTTGGGCGAGGACCGCGGGCTGCCAGGGCGCGGTGCGTACCAGAGCCCCTCGGGCGATGTAAAACAGCAGTCTGCTGAGGATGCTGCCGTGGCTGACACCGGCGTGAACTGAAACGCTCCCCGCGTCGTCTCCCCCGGCCGCCAACCCAGTGTGGTGATGCCGGACCCCTAGAGGTCGCAGACCTATGGACGCCGGACATACTGAGGCAGCTCGTGATGACAGCAGCCCTCCCACCCTCAGATCACCCTTTTCCCCACCCCTGGGGGAGGTTGGGGGGGGGGGGGGGGGTTGCAACACCACCGCCAGCTACCGGCTGTTGCGTTTAGCGTCATGGATGGCCGGCTGTAGCATTAAGCCTGCATTGACCGGACTCCTTAGCGGCACACCATTGACCGGCGGGGGGACAGACTTGACTCGAGAACGTCTGGGTCGAAGTAAAAGTAAAATCGCAATCGAGAACGCCGTGCCGTGGGTTTTAGACCACACAACAAACTTAAGTTTAAGTGTATAATGAGTTCATAGATAAAGGTTAAATTATTAAAACGTTCCTTTGGAATATCACCGCTTCCATAATGCATTTAATCTAGAAACAGTGTTAAATCTCATGGTGTCAAATCCTTGTGCCTTGATCTAACAAGCTACATAGGAAGGTAGCCATAGTTACGCGCGCCTTACCAGACCTATAGCCAAGGACATGTGTCGTGTAGATGAGAGCTGGTATCTCGGTCTACATGTCTGTCTTGTTCCATTCATTTCTGTCATATCAGAGCCACCTAAACGCGAAGTAGGAGAACTTACCACCATTATGAGTATCAGACGCGTGAGCAAAAGCTATTACTTGGACATGAACCGTCCAAGGTCGAGGTCAAGTGGATGACCCCGGTGGTAAATAAGTGGCTGGATCGATTCTCGCGTTGTTTTCGACGGCTTAGTCCTACCGACAGCGCAGCCCGATAGATGCCCTTCAACCCCGTCACCAGTCACGTGACCGTCGGTTTGCGTGTGGAACCGATAAACGGCTTCCGCCTGCCCGTCACTGGGCCGCTGCGGCAGACCTGAAGCCCCACGACCCGTCACCGCCGGCTCAGGCCCACTTGGGCACGGACAACACGCGCTGCGATGCACTTCAAGACATAACTCATTCATTGTTCCAGATAATTGCTTGAACTTGGTGCAGGCATCATTCATAGTCGCATTTAGGACATCTTCTTTCATGCTTTCATCGTTTTTAGTCGAAGGCCAAAAAATGTTGAGTGTACTTTGTATCATTTTCTTTGTTATCTGACAAGCCAATATTTCAAGGTGGAGTATTGAAACAACAGAACAGCAAGGAATATAGAGGATGGACTAATTGGCTCACATTTTCTATTTACAGATATAAAATATATTCTTCCGTTAGGCCTCTTTGTCAATTTGCATACAGTCTTGCACTTTTCTAAAAAAAAAAAATGGCAAAGATGACGCTACTCTGACGTCACACACGTTTGATCTATTATGATCGCAGGATGTATTTTGGCAAAAAGCGTAGAACTCATCAATCCACAACTATAAAAATTTCGCAGCAATATCTCAAGGTGTTTTTGAATTATCGCCAACATTGGACGGGGGGAGCGAGGGTCAGAGTTGACCCCGAATCAATGCTGGGTTAGCATGCTCCCGGGTGGCTGGTTGAACATCCTTTTTTATTGGACAGGGGGGCAGATTTGAACCCCGTTTAAAGCCTAGTTAGCACGCCCCTAAGTGGCCAGCTGAATATTCCTCGTTAAGGTATTAGTGTATAGGGTAGGCGTTAATTTGACCCTCCCCCTGATATCTCAACAACTAAAGAAGCTAGCAACACCAAATTCACAGGGTGATTTGACCTGTATGTGAAATCACTTGTGTTAAAATTTGGGATTCTTAGGCCATGAATGTCGAGTCAGATAAGGTCAAACAAGGTCAATTCCAGACTAGGTCTGCGAAGTGCCTCGGACCTCCTCATACAACCATCTTGAACCTAGAGACCTGTGCTATGCAAAATATCGTTGGTTTTCATTTAAGGTCAGTGGCCTTTTTTACCTTGAGAAGGTAATGGTCACCCAAAA